AAGACGTTTACTGAAATATTTTGAGCAGTTTAGAGGTTCTTGAGCATTTATATTTCATTCTACATCCTGTTGCGTTTTTATGCCATTGCATTGTAGGTGCTTTTACTCCAACTTAATATTCAGATAAAGATTTTGCACACAAAGTAATATTTATTGTTTTGCTTTAAAGCAGCTAAAATCAACTCCCACTTGACCAACATAAAACCTAACAACATTAGTAATTTGATTTTCACTCAGCAGTTTTCTGTGTTGAAAACACACTCTAAAAAATGTCAAACGTTACGGTGGGCAGGCAGCCGTCGCTCTACAGCAGATTCCTGGTTTTGTGCAGGTTTGATGGGTTGGGGGTGGGGGGTACCATCTCCCCATGTGGTCCCCTCTAGTTGTTCTCACCCTAATCTTGTTACATGTGTCCCCCTTTAGCACTAATGGTGCAGCCATTGTCTCCCCATGATGTGCTGTTGTGCCTTCATCCCAGTCACCTTGAGTCAGTAAACTCAGTCCTGTCATGTTTGGACTGCTTCCCACACACAGGAGTCTCCATGACGACAGTGGACACACTCCTCCCCACTCGTCCCACCCACTAACACAGTGTTGGGGCTGCTGGGATGCCAGAGGAAATGGTGGAGACTCTCACCGCGCTCTCAGAATATCATTTGCAAAATATCAACAGGCATAGTTTTTGTCAGTGTGTTTATTGTAACAACATTGTTTTATTGAAAAATTCTCAAAAATTAAGTTGACCGTGCTTCTCTACTATAAAACAGGTTTTTGCAAAGAAAAGCCAAATTAGTGCACATCTTTACAAAGTTATTAGTAAATCTCTTTGGTTTCTCTGGCGCTTTTCTTGTTATTACACCTTTTATTTTGTGGGTTGGACACTTAGTTCATCATGTTTTGAAATATTTTCTCCTCTGACTTTTTCAAATTTTCATCTTCCTCTTTTTTCTTCCAGTAAAACACTGTTAACATCTGTTTTGAAAAGTTCTTTAAAAATGGTGTTTGCTAAAGTCTGCTTGTAAATCATTATCTAATTGTTCATTTTATATCACATTAGTTCACTAACACTGAACAAAAGCAAATTATTGCCATTCATAGTTAACCTTTCTAGTCACTGTCACAGATTAAAGGGTTTGTTCACCCAAATCACAAAACCCATCCAGATTTTCTAACCCATGGTAAGTCTTTCAGATAGTTTTGTTTTTATTCACCTGTAATTAAAACCAAAACTATTTTTATGATTTAATACCACAAAAGTAGATATGTTTTTGTGCTTTGGTTGAGCTAAGTCTTTAAAGGTTTACTGTTCAAGTTAAAAGAATGAAATAACAATTATTATTAAGTTATTTTTTTTATTTTTGTAATTGTTTGTTTGGCTCTCCACCTACACTTAATCCTTCCCTTAATCCTTAACATTCAGAATTATCAGATTTGGCGATGCCTAGGCACTAACAGTGAGCTGGTAGCTGCAGCTTTAAATTCTCATTATTTAATAAGCTATGTAACAATTTCATCAGCTAAAAAAATGCACTTAAATGTCCTTGTCTCAGTATTTTTTTGCTGTAAAATCTTCTGCCAAACAAAAACCTTTAGATGCACCAGAAAAACCCCTGCAAAATGTATCTGTACAGAGGGACAGTATGCAAGATGGAGACATAAAGAGGGTGATGGAATAAGAGCTGCAAAAGGACCAGGGCAGGGGGAGAATGCATTTGGCCATCTTGTTTGGCGCATTTTCAGGTGACCCGGCCCCCACCCTGTATCCATCATACAGAGACTGATTGAACTGACCTTCAGGCCTGCCCTGCCGACCCCTGGGCTTCCTGTTCTTTGTCAGCCTCTCACAATACTTCTGGTATCACACAGACAGGGGAGGTCTGAGAACCGACCAGGGGAGTCCACCCAATCTGAGGCAGGGATGGTGGGGTGGTGTTGTAGGGGGTAGAGAGGGTCTTCAGGGAGGGAGCTGAGGAGCCCCTTTTCAATATCATTCAGTCTTTCCGAATGAGAGAAAAGGCAGAGTGGTGTCCTCCGTCACCCTGCCACACAGGGACCTTTAAAAAGCAGCCTCAGTGGTTTCGCAAGTGAGGTGCCTTCTCAAGAGACAAAAGGAGGAGAAGAATGAGTGGTCCTGTGTGAGGGACTGGCAGTGGGAGGATGGCCACTCTAGTGTTTGTAAAGGACCGAGTCGGTTCATTTGTGGGGACAGTGAACAGGGAATCTGAGGTGGTCTCAAGCAGAGAAGCTACATCACTGATCTTGATCTTGTGAAGTAGCTACTCACATGCTTTACCAAAAGTATCAAAAGCTGAAATATTTGTTCTGCTGAAAAAAATGGCCCCTGTGGTTCCCAACAAAGGGGTCCAGCTTCTGCTAAAGGATCCTAAGATAAATCGTAGGGGGTTCAGATGATTATTTGGACCAGAAAGAAGAAAGAGCACAGATACATTTTTTGAGAAATATTGTATAATTACCTCTTTGTGCCTAAAACATTTGGTTCAGATCCATCTAAAACATCATGATGTTGGAGGCCCATGGGAAAAACGCACGGAGGAGGCAACTGACAGGAAGCTGCAGAAGTAGTAGCCACTGGTGGATGGAAGGGTGGCATGTCTGTCTGTTAGTGGAGGTGAGAGAAGTTTCCCAGTATTGTCCTGTAGAATAGCAATTAAGAAGTTTGGGATCGCAAGCCAGAAATGCAGGAAGAGCCAGAGCACAGTGGCCCAGGAGTTGGCGAGGATGTCACAGTTGTTGTGGCTGAACGTACATGGCCACCCAGCTGGTGCACCCTTCACAAGGCGTGATAGTGAAGAGGGGACTCATGAGGTTTTTTAAAAAAGTGCATTTGCCTCTGAGTTGTAGTGGAATAGTGGTATAAAACAGCATAAAACATCCTACTGCTGCCGATTGAGAGCATCACACATACATTAACTATAGAGCAATTCAACATCCACGTTGAATTATCCGTCATTAAACTTTAACGGTCTTTCAGCTTCACTTTCAACTCTCTTAATGTGTGTGTGTATGTTTGAGTAGCCACTCTGTGAGGATACATACAGCTTTAGTTGAAGCGTTCCTGGTTACCATGGCAGGGGGTTTGGGACAATCACTTATCTATATTGCCTCCTTTTAGAAGTGATATTAATAAGATTTGTCCTTGGGTACTACATGGGGTCTGTGAAGGACGGGTTGAATACATTGTGTTAATCAATCCTGGTTTTATACAGCTGTGTTCATCACATGTGTGTGTGTTCTTTAAACATATGTGCAGTTGTTGCAGCATTGAATTTTTATGGATGAAAATCAATAATGCACCGATTTGGTGAGAGCTCACATGTGGGCAGTTGACTCTTGTTGATTTGTGCTAACTTCAGGAAATTATGGCCCCTTGGAGCCTTTGGGGCATCATAGTCAGGTCTGGTGTTTTGTAATAAAAAAAACCTGTCACCCAGTGCAGTGGTGAATTTCCCAGATGTGTTTTTAATCAATTTTGAACAACATCGCACAGACAAACAAGCTGATCCAGGACTGACAGCTGACAGACATTAACCGTGGGCAGAGGCAATTCACTGTCAGTTTCAGAGTCTGTATAGAGATTGTTGAAAATGCTATTGATATATAAAATGACCAGCTTTATCCTTTAACATTTTGGCTATTAACTTTCAAACCTCGTGTCTTGGAAGCATGTGGTTCTATGACTGAGGTGTGTGGCACTGGTTGTCATTGTGCACTCTGTTAATGTCTAACTTCTTTCTATTTAGCGTGTTATTTTATCCTATGTGTTTTACGTCAGCCGTGTCTTATGTGTGCTATTTGTTTGTGGGTCTGTGCTGTGTTGCAAGTTCTTTAAATTTAACTGAATTAAAGACGAAGTTGGATTTTCTGCCATTTCAAATTTTATTTTGTGCATGATTCCTCCAAATTTTATCCAAACCCCACCAGACTTGGTACTTTCATATTTGTACAACCCTGGAAGTTATAATACTTACATTATGTAATAGTGTTACATAGCCTGTTTTATTTATATTACTCAGTGTTTTTACCTATGTTTGTTACTTACCTGCTGTAAGTAGGCGCGGTGTATAGCTATTTAATACATCAACTGCAGCCATATTTAAGCTACACGTGCGCATAGGACCACTGACAACTCTAAATTTCCAGTGTTTCACCCCAAGGTGGTGCTGCAGTGAAAATAAATAAATATTTTATTTGCTGTATTTCTAATAACACTACAGACATGATATTCAGCACACAGGTGTACGCTGGCCAACTCCTGCACATATTAACAAAAAGAGGTGAGAGAAAGCCAGAAGCAAAACAGTAAAATGGCATTTTTTGATCACAGGCAGCATTAAGGCTGCATGAGTTTATTTGTCAAAGTTAAGGATGACACCACTGTCTCCATGTCCCGACATCAGCTGCTCCGTGTCCCACAGTGTCCTGGCAGCGCCCAGTCGGGCGGCTGATCCATTCTCTCCCAGCCCAGACCGCAAGCCTGTGGCTCAACACACTGAAGCTCCACTTCTTTTTCTTCTAATTCATTTGCAATGCTAATGCACGAGAGACAGCTGTCATCTTGCAGCGACCATGATCAATCCAAAGCCAATGGAGAACGGAGGGGGGGGATAAATAAAACTGCAGGGTAAATAGGTCGGCCTATTATCTTCTGGCCTTGCATGGGTGCTGGTCCTTGAGAGCATGAATTTCAATGAAAGGTCCTTTGACTGGGGGAAAGAAGAAAGTGAATAAAATATGGAAAGAACGAATAAAAGCAGAAAATGTAAAGTCGAATGAAGGAAAGCAAACACGTTTTGTTTTCAGCTGACTTGTTGGAAGTAATCTTTATACAGTGGTGAATGGCTTTGTGAAGAGTAGTGCGCTTTGTCTTCTGCATGTATGTGTGAGTGTTCTTCATTTAGGATGTAGATGCCTTTCTTCTTCTCGAGAACATGTATATCTCAGTACTTGGGTTGGTTTCCTATTTCCTGGACGAGAACATGTATATCTCATTACTTGGGTTGGTTTCCTATTTCCTGGAAGTGTGTCTGCATTCAAAACAACAACAAAACAGTACATTTATTTGGTTGTGCATGGTAGACTTCTTCTTTCCTGGAAGTAATTAATATGCCCTGGTTTAAATGCAGGCTTTTCTGCTTGAGGTATCGCTGATGACTCCAGATTATTTTGGAGCGATGTCATCTTATTGCAGATGTATTGGTATTGATCATGTCAGCTGATACTAGTGATGCTAGTGGTGTAATGTGATTCTCCAAACCCACAGTTCTGTTCAGACCAAAGCTTTTGAGCCATGGTTTGGTTCATATCACCATATTTTTGTTTTATTTTTAGGGGGCTTGGGAAGAGTGAGCGATGGAACATGCATACTTTTTAAAGTAACAACAGCAAATTTTAAAATTTATATGGTGGGTTAATTATTTGTAGTTGGACTGAAGCAGCGGCGCTGGAGGTATAAGGCAAAATATCCGGACAGTACTCTGTGTTTGTAGACAACATAATGACAACAGAGGTCAGTCAAGACACAAGAAGCTACTTTCTCTTCACTGATTTTACTTTCTTTGCTAATAATGTTTGTCTAAGCAAGACTGAGGGAAATGAGGTGGAAAACTTTGTGTGGGTGGGGTTGAGGGGTGGATCTATTTCGGTGTAGTGGGTGGGTTTGGCATGGGAGGGATCAATTGATTCCTGTTGTTAAGGAGTAGGGACACTGTTTCATCTTAAGATGTCATCTCTCTCTGTCCTTCTCTTTTTCTCACCATCAGCCCCTCCAGTTCACCTACACACACACACACACACACACACACACACACACACACACACACACAAGTCATGTCAGAGGCAGCAGCAATAATCCCTGTGCTAGGCCGCCCAGATCATTATAGACTCTGATCTGCAGTCCCTGAAAGAGAGAATTAGCTGGGAACACAATTCCAGCGACCTCTGTGACATGGGGACAAAGCCTCAGCTGCCGGGGGTCCACATCCCTAAACCAGCCCATATGGCTCAGACAAAACTGTTACAATGGCTGCTACAATGGAAACATGGTGGGAGGGTCTGCTGGACTACCTACGTGTGTGTGTGTCCGCAAAATTGGACAGTTTGTCTGTGTTTGTACACTAACATGCTGATCTTAGGTTGTGGATTGTCAAATGGGCAGCATGTGGTGCAGGTCTTCTTCTTCGAGTAGTCCAAAAAGTCCATTTCTGGGCACTGTAGGCACTTTTTTTATTTTGCCTTTTTGACACATGCTGTACAAACGTTTTCTTCTTCATCGACGTGGAGATGGCAGTGTAACTGTTTAGACAGCAGGTTTTCCCACATCTCTGGTTTCTTCTGTGCTGTTTTCTGCTTTGTCATATGGACACGAGTGCCAGATAGGATTTGAGGATGTGTTTGTGCTCCTCCTATACAGCCTGTTTCCTATATCTAGGAAGTTTGCAAGTCTTTCCTCTGCCCTTTCCCTGTGAGCTGATGGGTTTCGTAAGAGCCCCCCTGTTGTGTTCATGCTGAGTAGTTCTTTGTGATTTGGGTGATTGGAAGAGACCCCCTGCTTTTAGAGTACACACGAGAGCTTTTGCCTCTCTCTCTCTCTCTCTCTTGCACACACATTGGTCTTTCTATAGCTGTGAGAAAATACTCACTAGTATAATGCACTCACTTGCCCCTTACCCTAAACATAACCATAATATCTAAATTCCCAAACCCAACCCTTTTGAAGTTGTGAGGACTAGTTGAAATGTCCTCACAAAGATTGTTTTAAACTAAAATTTCTTCACACAAACATAGAAGGACCATCCCAACCCTTAATCCTGTGGATATTTTCATGCTTTTCTCCGTCCAGGCTCCAGATGTCCCTGGACTCTCCCTCTGTCACCTGCACACCTGTTTCCCATTGCCCAGTCTAACCCAGTATTTTTACTGTGGGTACATCCCAAGTCTCTGATAAGCACCGTTGTTTCTCTCACTTGAATCTTTTCTTTGTCTTAGTCCTAAATTCAAGGACTACATGCAAGGAGAGAGAGGAGTCAAGGAAATGTGTTATTAACAACATGAGATCACCAACTGATTTTTGATCAAGGAGTGTGTCAGTTCATAAAAGACTTCTGCGAAGGGAGGTCTTGTGTATCCTTTCTCGAGTTTCCTCCAGGTGGCCTCCTCGCTCAGAGCCAATATAAGAGACTTGGAATCGGCCTCCTCGCTCAGAAACAATATAAGAGACTTGGAATGTCTTGGAGCATCTTGGAACGTCCTCAGTCCAATGATGTGGGAACATTCCAATAAGATGTACCCAGGGACTAATTCTCTCAGTCCTCTGACATAAGAGTCCTGTGGTGTCCTTGATCTTTACTTGACCAGAGTGACTTCTGGGTCGAGCAACGTTATATAAGAGACATGAGATGCAATCAAGGAGAATCACATGCTGAGGAATGAAGAAGTAAACTAAACCAGTAAATATGGATAAATCCCAATTCCCTTTATTGCATCCACATTCCCCTCTCTTGTGTCTTTTCCTTGTGTCTTAGTCCCACCCATGTAAGATACAAGGAAAAATTGTGAGAGGACTTGAGGAAACATGTTTTAGGGTCATGAAAATTTGATCCTTCATCTGAAGCTTCCGATCACCAACTGATTCTGACAAAGGGGGCGTGTTTGTCCTTGAGAGACTTCAGTGAAGGATGCGTTAGTGTATCCTCGCTCATGGCTTCTCCAGCAGCCTCCTTGATCCTTGCTCCTCAGAGCAGGAAGAAGAGCTTTGGGATGTCCTTTGAGGAGTGAGGAATGATCAAATAAGGGAATTGGGATTTACCCTATGGCAATGGACTCCTGTTTTCACCTGACAGGCTGAGTTATTTCTCTAATGGTCCTTACTGATGTGAAGTGGGTAAGAGAGTGGGCCACTTTTTGCCCATGTGGTACCTTTTATCAGATTTTTAAAACAGAGCAATTAGATAAAGATTTTTGAGCTGCTTTTCAAGGTGAGAATATGAACACCGAGCTATGATGAGCCTCCACAAGACTTTCTTTCCAAGTGTGTGTCATTTTTTTACCATGTATTAACATTTGGCATGACCATCGTCATATCGGTCGTGTTCAAGCGGAGGTGCATTTTCTCTTGGGGCCATATTCTCTCTTTCTCTTTTCCCTCCACTCATCTCCACTCTTCACTCTCTCCAATTAGGGGAGCTCCAGCTGTGCACCAGTCAGGATCAGAGGCTCCTTCTATTAGCCAGATCCATTTGTGTGGTGATTGAATCACTCCCCAGTCTTCTCTTTTGGTATCCCAGCCCCCACAGCTCCAAATACACAAATATATCCACAGACCCGTGCTTTCACAAGTGTCCACACACACGCGCGCACACACACATCAGCCTTTCCGACAGCTCCACAAACACAAAATAAAAAAACTGTATACAAATACATCTAAACCGACTGTAGGGACGACCCTAAGAAAAGCTAAACATTTATGTTTACTTTACGCTGTATAAAACTCACTGATGGTGCTAAAACTACAAATACATTACTGTTTCTGGGTGATGTTTTATTTTACTGTTCCAGGATTTTAATTTAAATAAAATATATGTATATAATTTGGCACTGATTACAGGAAAAAGAAAAAGCCTGCCCAACCAAAGTAAATATTTATTCAGCATTTATTCTTGGAAACTTTTTTGCATGTTTAACTTGCCTGCTGTGCACTGATAAAAGATTCTCTGGTTTAATCTAGCTATTCATTGGGATTAATTAATTAGAAGTGGACCGATTGCTGTTACAGGGCTCTGCTATTTTACATATAATTAGTAGCAGCTCTTTCCAGAAAGTGCCCTAGAAATTTGTTAGTAAATGTTTGACTTTTAAAAATGAAACATTACCAATGTTTTAAATATAATAATAATAATAAAAAAAATAGAATTTCATGTGATATTTTATAGGCAATTTGGTTTGCAAGAGATTAATGAAGTTGCAACAAGTAGTAAGAAGCAGCCCACCTTTATCTGTACAACCAAACAAAGAAATAAATGCATAAATGAAGATGTCATTTTTTTTCTTTTTCATTGGTTCAACTGTCCTCAAACAAAGTTATTTTTAAAGTTGAATTCTTCTCTGTCCTTGAAAGATTTTCCTATTTATTCCAGAAGGTGGCACAAGTGTGTAGGGACTGGTCACAGGCCATGCATTCATCAGGGGGGCCATTGATGCAATATAAAAGCCTGTCACTGAGGTCTTGTTCCTTAGACAGTTATAGAAAACAGTGTCTCCATTTTTGTTCACCATATGCTAAGAGACCTCTTGACCCTTTGCCCTGAAGACAGTGTTAACAAGTTGTCAAAATGTCATGGCCTTTTTCTTTTGCAAAAAAATAAAATCAACAAAAAACAAACAAAAAAAAGTGTTGTGTGAAAAGAAAGGCCCAGATCAAGAGTATGTGGTCTTTCTACAGAGTCATATAATTCAAACTCATCAAGGGCAAGTCTTTTGTAAATCCTCTCCTCAATCAAGTGTACTTTCCTGTCGTCCGCTCACTCTTGGCAGGTTTTTTTTTTTTCAATTTTCTCTCCACATTCTGTCTCAATCACACAGACACTTCTTTTCGTTCTTTCTCTCCGTCCTTCTCGGCATCTTTTGAATGACAGTGCTTGGTCCTGGTCATATCAGTCCCTACACAAAAACCCTCACGGTGGGATTGTGCTGAATGTTAGAGATGATTCCTCGACAGCGTTAATGGCTGTCACTTTCAGCAGCAGGATTAAAGCACCAGAAGGGACAAGTAGAAACAAACTCAGCGTTTCTGAGACTACTGCAGCCACGGGATATGTGTGAGATGTACACTCACTGTTAAAATGATGCAAGAATAGAGCATATAAACCCCAATACAACTGTTCTGCCATAATGTTGTAAAAATGTTCTAGTACTGAGGTCGTAGTTGGTGGTGTAGATAACGGACTGTATTATATCCAGTACATCCAGCCCCCTTGTGTATGTAAATAGAGAACAAAAAAATAAAAATGAACTCTCAAAATAATGTAGTCCAGTATAAAACTACCTCTAACTATGACCTTAATAATAAACACAGTTTTGAGTTCACACATTTATGACAATCTCACCTAAAGACCTGCATTAGATTGTCCAGGTCTGCAGTACCTAATAAATATGTCTGTGCTAAATAATAAATTTAGCAGAGACATAGCTGATAAATTGTCTTCTGTGCTACACCGCACTTCTTTAAAAAATATTGTAAAAAAAACAAAACAAAACAAAAACAGTTTTGGATCAAAATGACACCAAACTAAATGTCCCTGCATGTACGTTGATGTATCCTTGCACAATGTTTTTAAGCATTTGGAGGTTGAAGCATTAAACATATTAATGGAGGAGCACACTTCCTGATCCTCCTAACACTGATGTATTATCCTGCCCAGTCTTCAGCCAACTTTGCCCTCAGAGGTTCAAGCCTGAGAGATGCCTCTGGTGCTGCTGATGATATGAGTTTAAGAAAAATAGCCATGGCTAAAAGGCTTGGCAAGATGTTCTGCATGGGCATCTGAGTGTGTTTGCTTGAGGGGGTACACTTGACCTCCTCCCTCTCGAGGAGCGATGGAGGAGATGCTGGAGAGCTTCTCGAGGCTGTCAGTCAGACTTTTTCCTCTCATGCTGCTGCTGCTGCTGCTTCATGGCTCAGCTCACAGCTCTACATGTATAAAACAGCAAACTGTCCTTGGGCGAGACACTGAACCTCAGGTTGCTCCCGGTGGCCAGGCTGGCACCTTGCATCGGTGTGTGCGTGAATGGGTGGATGGGTGAATCTGTAAAGCACTTTGTCGGGGTAAGGGAGAAAAGTGCTATATATGTAAGTGCAGCCCATTTCCCATTTAATTCACATGTTGGGCATTCGATTTTATACTTGTGCTTCGGTGCAGCGCTGCATTACTGGCTTTTTGAGCTAATAATATTTTGTAGTTTTACTTTTTTTGCATTAAAAGCTCATGGTTGCTGCGAAGTATTGTGAAATGAGTAAAATATGAATTTGTAAACAACATATGTACAGAAACACAGATGAGCGATACAGGGAACAGAATATATGCATATTATGGATATGGCTTTCATTTCATAATTAGTTTGATTTTATAGTTGTTTCTTTATTGTTGCTCTGTTTAACATGTTCATTTTCAGTTTCATCAGTTTCAATTCTTTACAAAGTCTTTTTGATATATCTTTGGTTTGTGTCAGAAATGTTTGTCCAAAACAAATAATCTATAGATATAATTGTTACCGCGATGAAAATAATGGTCATTGTGATGAAAATAAAAACAAAAATAAGCTGTATTTGATTCATCTTGGTTGAATATTATTCTTGAATTGGAACAAAAAAGAGCAAACAAAACATTACAGAATGCTCTGAACTATAAATCATCTTTTTTCCCTGTTTACTGGAGGTCACAGGGCTGTATGATGTCCTTGATCTTTGACCTTTCTATGGTTTCATCAAACCATATACTACCTCAACTAAACAACAAACTGTAGATGAACCTTATGTCAACCAGGAAAAAAAAAATTCTTACAAATGAATGAAAAAAAATCTTATTTGTTATAGTTCATTAGGCTGGAATTTAATCCCTAGTGTGAGCAAATAAGCCTTAAAAAAAGTGCCAGGGCATTTTTTGACCGGATTCAATTAGGTTTTTATCATTTCTTAACTAAAAATCTGACCAAAGCATCAGATAAATCCAAGGTCACTCCTTGTGCAAATTCTCTGTTTGCCTCTAGCAAAGAAAAACTATCTACCACCATCTTAGAACTTTGAATTGCACCTCTAACTTGGTTTTGTTTTCACAATCTCTCGTTGCTCTCAAGATGATAGTGCTGATTGTGATTTGTATTTTCAAAGCTGGGGCGGGAAAGCGTGTGGGTGTTCAGGGGGTGTAGGTGTTTGCAGCAGAAAAAGACAATACAATTAAATGATTAATGCACAGCGGGACCACTGACAATTAAAACTATTATAGAAATTAAAATGGTATTATGTCACAGTGGAAAGCTGATGATACCCGTGCCGCCTTTTTAAAAGCAATTTTCATAATTCCAATTATTGAAATTACAGCATATTCATTCATTTACTGGGTGAGGAGGGCCAAGAGCGGCTACTAATGAAATGCAATCATTAGCATCCAAACAAAGTAATTGGGTAGTCTTTTATCCTTGGAGATAGGTGATAAGGCACAATCACCCCCGTCACCCCCCTCCATCAAAATGCAAAAGCAAATAATTAAAGCACAGACAAAGATGAGACCAGCGCTGCTGCTGTGCTGTACACCTCTGAAAACAGCACTGATTGCCTTGATTAGAGACCTTACTGTACCCTCTGATTTTGTTTATGGATACTCTAACATTCTTGGGGAATAAAAGGGGTTGGGGGTAGATGGGTGTAGCTTATGAATTTGTTTTTGAGATGACAGAAAATCTGAAAAAATGAGACATTTTCTTGTTTATTTATTTTATATTTATCCTCATTTAACCAGGTGAAACCTCACTGAGATTAACATCTGTTTCTCAAGAGTGACCTCACCAATGTCTGAAAATATTCTGTACTCTGCAGTGGTAGCTAGGATGGAGCTTGAAATCACAACTAAGTCCACATTTAGCTCAGTTAAATATTAGCTCCTTGTACATACTTAAGTTAATGGAAAACAGTGCTGCTATATGGGACAATTACCATCCTGCTCCACAGGACATAACAGCAAGAAAAGGGAGGATGGGTAGAGGTGGAGAGGTGAGCCAGAGAAAAAGAGAGAGGTTGAAGTGAGAGGAAGATGGGCACATGAAGAGTCTTGAGAAAAAGAGCTTCTACTCACTCATCTCTCTAGTGGGGACACCATTCTCTCTCCCTTTTCTTAGCTATCTCTCCTCTGTGGCATTTCGGGCGCTTCTTCCCTGTAAGTCAGCCCCCCTCTCCTCCTCAAGACCGCCGTCCTTGGAGAGCGTCATTAGGCCCTCCTAGAGGGGAGTCAAGAATATAATGTGAAAGGGGCCACCTTCGAAAAAAGAGCCCAGTGGAACCTTATACACTTGTGCGTCCCCTCATTAACACCATCCTCTGCGCTGCACCCGCTTCAAACTTCAGTCTTGTCTTTTCCTCTGCTCCTATGTTCATTTCCAGTGTAAGGTAGCTTGTGTATCTACTCCCTCCTGAGGGCCAAGGAGGGGGCCCATTTCTTACCGGTTGGGCACAGATTTGACATAGCCAGTACCTCCCACACCGCTGCCTCGTACCTCCACCTCCTTTGAGATGGACTGATGAGGGGATAACAAAAGGACCTGGAGGGGGGAAAGAAACTCCTCTTCTTATAGCCTTGGCCCTGAAGCCCATCATTCCATCTTGCAGGCTTTTCATCTTAGAAGATCAACACATTTCTTTCCCGCAGGCACCTACACAATTTCTCTCTCCCATTTTCTCCCTCTCCCCTCTTTCTATGCACCTCTCTCTCTCTCTCCAAACGGGAAAACTGTCCTTGGTTGGATTCTGTTTTTCAGAGGAATCAATTCTCCTTTGTACACACTTGATCTGACCCTGTGACAGACATTAAGTGTGTCTTCTGCCTGTTACAGAGGGCCCGTGTTCTGTGTGCTGATGGACACAGCCCATTATCACACCGAAATGCAAGCACACAGACTCGTACAAAAAGTGCACTTGTTAACATGTTCATGCGTACAGACAGGCAAACACACACACTCATGAACACAGGCACGGACTTGTGAACATTCTGGAAATCTGTATGTATACACATGGTATTTAAATGTATACAGTAGGCATGCAAGCAACTGCACACACATACTTGCACAAACATGGTCAGCATGGCCTGTGAGCAGATGTGCAGTGGATAACAATGAGGGCTGCTTATGATTGAGGTTTAGGACCGTCACATATAGGCTGCTGAGCTCAAACTAATGGCTTTGGCAGGAGCAGTGAGAGGGTTGAAGTGAGTGAGGGTTGAAGAGGTCACAGGAGAGAAATGTACAAGATACTGTACCTGAATCGTGGAGAGAGGTGGGAGACTGGTGATTAGACATGAAACACAAGACACACACCAGCTCAAAGGAAGATCTCAGAGGGTAGAAACTAGAGCTACAGGTAAATATTCAGTACTTACTATACTTGATTTGGATTTTAAATTGATTACTTCAGCTTGACAAAATCCTGCAGCTCTAATAACTCTAAAACCAGTGATCTATAACTTTGTTTAGAATGGAAAATTATGGTTTAATTAAGAGATCGCTATCCGCTTGAACGTGGACAAATCTTAACTGTAGCCTACCTAAGAAGTACTCGGATCTCTTACTTAAGTAAAAGTAGCAATAGAACAGTGTAAAAATACTCTGTTACAAGGAAAAAGTACTGCATTCAACATGTTACTTAAGTAAATGTACAAAAGTATTAGTATCTAAACAAACTTAGTACTAAAAGTGAAAGTACTCATTATGCAGAACATTCCACATTACTATCTTTCATATTATTGGATTATAATTATTGATGCATTGTTATGTCACATTTAGTGCACCTGGTAAAAGTGGAACTAATTTTAACTAGATTTTATAGGCTACTTATAATTTAAATTAAAGTAGCACAAAATAAAAAATACTCAAGTAAAGTACAGATACCTCAGAACTGTGCTTAAGTGGAGTACTTGAGTAAATGTACTTACTTTCCTCCACCGATTCTGAAATAAAGCAAACAGCTGTACCCAACTAATAACAATGAACATATTCAGTGACACTCTTAGCCAGGATTTTGTAGTTTTCATGGGGATAAAACCCAGACACTTAAAGCGTATTCTCTTCTAATTCACAGGTTATGTAGTAATCAGAGAAACATAAAAATAAAAAAGTGGAACATGCAAAATGGGTTGAAAATCACAGTGTATTTAAGATTAAACAGAATCTTGTTTAGCTTGTTTTGAACACAGCTTACATCTCACCTTGTGTTCGACTGCATCACAGATTTCTGTTGTTGTTGTGTAGTGAAGTGACTACTGCAGAAATGGCAGTATACAAAGTATTCAGTTTAATAACTGGCTATTTAAACTGAAATGGTGTCAAATTTGGTAAAGAACATATCCTTGTGATAGGGCTCAGTCCCAAAGTTTAGGACCTGAATTGATTGTAAATTTATTATTCTAAGTCCTTTAGCTCTCTGTATTAACTACCTATAGTTTCAAACTACTGATTCACTAGATTGGATTGCAACAGTAAAAGCTAGTTAAAGCGGAAATTAACGCATTTTTTTGCCACAGATTTGTATTTTGCCACTAGGGGCAGCGAAAATGCGTTTGTGGCGGTAATGCGCCTAAAGCTCTTTGACAACCGCCATTGAACAACATAGGAGGAGGAGGAGGAGGAAGAAGAAGAAGAAGCAGAAGCAGCGAAAAACACGTGATTATAATACCGCGGACATGTAAAGCACTTTCAGAGCAACATTATCACAGATTTGGCGTCGTGTTTCTGGTAACCTAGTGAATGTAAGTTCGATGTCTGGTCTGTTTTAGCTCTATATTTGGTCTCCACCACCTCTTGAGGGAAATGCCCGACTCTTTAGCTGCTAGTCGCTCACCGTTTGTTTGGCTTGAGGGCCAAACATGAGCCAGGCCAGAGGCCCTGTATCACGGTACAAGTTCAATTTAGCGTAGCTCTTCTCAGTCTGGCTTTCATAATTTCTAGGAGGAGGGTTGGTCTGCCTGGACGAAGGACTTGAATGTCAAGAGATTGAGGCTTGAGCTTTTGACTTTCAAACCAAAGGCTGCTTCCCACATTTTGACTGTGTTTCTCTCCCTTAGCTGGTGACTGGAGGCCAGTTGTCCCCTTAATCTGCTATGGAGTCCTACAGCGAGGAACCCAACTTAGAGCTGCTGCAGGTAAGCAGAACCGACAATCACTCTGAAAAGATGTATGTCAGTCTTTGTTTACAGCTCAGACATCTATACAACAAGGTCGGCAGTGATGGAAGAAATACTCAGATTCTTTACTTAAGTAAAAGTAGAAATACCAGTCAGTGTAAAAATTCTCTGTAAGTAAAGGTCCTGCATTCAAAATGTTACTCAAGTAAAAGTACATGGGTATCATCATCAAAATATATAAAGTGTCAAAAATAAAAGGGGTCATTATGCAGAATGGCACATTTCAGGATGCAGCTGATAAAGGTGGCACTAATGTTAACTACCTAATGTAGTCATCATTTGAAGTACATAATGTACTGCGGGGTGGTTTGTGGAACTCCCACCAGGGATCATTAAAGTCCAGTGATTATACTGTATATTGTGTAGTTAATCTGATTCTAAAAAGTAACTAAAGTTACCAAATAAATGTGGTGGACTAATGAAATAAGGTCAAAGTGTAGCTGAAAATGAAAATACTCAAAGTACAGTACCTCAATCATATTTAAGTGCAGTATTTGAGTAAATCTACTTAGTTACTTAGTAAGATCAGAAGTCAGGATACATGTCTTTTATTTATACCTGCAGTTAAAAGCTCCAGAGAGTATGTCATCGTCACAGTAGATGCATACTGTGAGTAACTGTCTATATGTGGATGTTGTCTGAATGAAAGTACAAATCAAAGTCATTCTGCCAACCAGCTCTGAGAAGTTTCAGTTTTTGAGGAGTACAATTAACTTTCAGAGAGAGACTAGCTCCTGTCTGGTTTCAGTTTTCTCAAAGAACACAGATCCCTATCACTTGTTCCCCCGCTACCTGTCTTTTTCAATGCTCTTTAATTGTCTGATTTCTCCCTTGTTGGTGTGTCTCACAGCCGATACAAAAACCCACAGAGTCTTAAAAAGGCAAAAAATGAGAAAAGAGGCTGAGAAAAAGAGAAAGGGAAGACAGAAGAATGCATTTGATTAGCGCAAGTTGGCTGTTCGTGGCAGACCGTCTGAGAGCCGAGGAGCCATTGTGTTCCTTGTGCATGTGTGAATGTTACAGCGAACAGAGCCACTAAAAAAAGACAGACATGGGAAACATGCGCACTGACATTTCTTAATCAAATATGGCAATCAGGGGGGGCAACCAACAGCATACCATTTGCAATCCCTTTTAATTCATAATCAAAAGCTGAGCAAATGAGGGAGAAATTGAGAAACTGAGAGGGGGAGCAAGGCAGAGAAAGGAGGGAGAAGGAAAGAGAGCGAGAGAGAGAGAGATGCAGGTCATTACATGTCTTTTTACTAGCCCGATGAGAGCAATGTGGAATTAATCAGAGGCCATTAGGCTGTATTTACTTACCCCTGCAGGGGTTCGGATCTCTCTCTCTCTCGCCCTCTTTCTTTGGATACAGACCCTAATATGATCTTGCCCTGACCTTATGTTCCTTTTCAGACAGAGATCCTGGTATATTGCCATTAAGCTGACCCTCCATTATGACTGCTTTGCTTATTTACACTCAACTAAGCAAAAATGGCAGAATAGCATCCTAGTGTTCTTTTTCAACAGCTGCCACCAGTAGTAGAGGTGTGATGTCCAGCGTTATGTATACTGCATGCATCGGAAATATGAAACATATCGGTGTTGCTTTTAAAACGATGTGTTTTAGTCCTGCACATTTAGGAAATAATTTGGACTCAAGTAGAATTGTTGTGCATCGTGTACAGTATGTTAGGATTATGGTTGTATTCAGTTATGTACGAGTGATGTGTTTGTGTGATAAGTATGTTGGAAGAGAAACAACCCTTGTGTCGGGTCTTAAAAGGAACACAGCGTAGCCCTTTGCCCCCAAGTTGCCTCTCCCTACCTTACTACAGACGCCAAGCTGTGGTAAGCCTGTGCCGACTACTTCTGCTGCCAGTATAATGCAGGGTAAACTGTGCCCTCCTCGTATCCCCATGGCTTAAGGGTCAGACTGTGATGCAGAGGGCCCCTGAGCACAGATATAAACCACCTACATAGAACTATGACATTGAGACTGTAACAAAGATGCTTTGTTTTGTTTCAGGGCCACTGTGGCTCAGGGTGTAGAGCAGCCGTCCCCAGTAGGGTTGGCAGTTCGATCCCCGGCTTTTCCAGTCCAAATGTGGACGTGTCCTTGGGCAAGACACTGAACCCCAAAATGCTCCTCCGGTGTAAATTCTTTAAAAGTGCCTTGAGTATGCTTCAGTGTGTAGAAAAATGCTATACAAGTACATAAACCATTAGTCTTTTTAAAGTTATTGTTTGCCTTTGAAACGGTTTTGCTCTCTTTGTGGTCTTCTTGGATGTTGTTTTGCATCTCTTTTTAGTTCTTTTGCATCTCCTTGCAGTTGCTTAGCATCTCTGGGCAGATAGTGTTTCTGTTATTAGTCATTTTGCATGTTTGTGTGGATTTGTCTCATTTTGGGCTTTTTTTTTTGTCGCTCTAGGGGCCCCTTACCCTTTGAGCCCCTGAGCCTGTGCACTGTCAGCCTGGTCAGTAACACATCCATGGCCACAGTCATGATTCATCTGCCTTGTAGCCTACAGCTCTCTAGGTTATGTTTTTAGCATCCTATACCAGCACAGTATCACATCTTCCATTTATGTTTTGTTTGTGTGTGTAGGCCTATATCTTATTAGTTCTGAGCATGTAAAAGTAACCTTAGCGTCTAGTCACATTCAGTCATCAACACTTGAAGTCACCCATTGTTTATCAGTCTATGCAGATTCTCAGTCATCCAGGTCATAGTCAGTCGGGCAGAACTGATGAAGCCTGTTGGATGAGAGGTGAAAGTTTTTTTCAGATTGTATCAGTTGTGGTAATGAACATGTTCATTTTCTGTTAATTATTTTCTTCATTTTGTGAACCCCCTTTCCTTTGTTCTTACTCATAAGCCCCAAACACACTTCAAGCAGACATTTTCCTTGCTTTAAGCCCTGTATCCCAGGTTTAAACCTTTTACATAGAACAGCGTGGCAGTGAAGTGCTAGCTTAATCCTGGCTTGAACAGGCAGTGAAAAAGGGGCTAAAACAGAAGATGAAGATGGAGCAGGGCTAAGAATAAGGGTATAATGAGAATGATCCCGCACACAAACGTGTGAGCGTGCATATGAGCTGGTGTCTGTATCCTTAGACATTATATTGCATCAGGTGAGAGCTGTATGCACTGACGACCTGAGTGCCACAGAGAGGAGAGGAGCTGAGAGATGCTCTTAAATCAGTGTGTAAATCCCCTGTGGGGGTCAACCTGCGGCCTCTGATGTTGACTCACAACTCAGGCTGTCACACATCTCTCTCGCCTAATGCTCCACTGCCATTATTCACCCAGGGCCTGCCGCTGCTAGAATCTTTTTAATGATGGACCTGGGTCTCCAAAAGCTTCATGGCATTAAGTTAGTGCCATTTTAAGAATATTAGAGATAAAACATTTCTAAAAGTGAATGTGTTAAAACTAATGGCTTTTTTAATCGTTGACAAATGTTATTAATGCCTTGTAGATCAGTAATGAACCAACCTCTTGAATAACTTCTTGGTTGCTAAGTTTTGAAAACTCTCTGCTGGCGTACAGCAGTTAAAGAAGTGTTCCCATCATTTACTTAAGTAGCATAGTGAAGAAATACCCTGCATCATGTAAGTCACAATTTCGAATTTTACTTAAGTAAAAGTACATAGTTAAAAGCAAGCCATTATAGAGGATGACACCCAGCAGTCAGCAGGCTTTTTCACAAGATTTAATAAATTAACAATTAACAGCAAAGCTACTCTAGGGATACATCTAGTTAAATAAAGCTACTTAGAAAAATTAGTTCAAACTACCATCAGACTGACAGTGTACATGTGATACAAAAGTATAACATAAAAAGTCACATGCCAACAAAAATGCCACTCACCTGAGTTTATTACCTGAGACTTAACTTGTCTTAAATAAAACAATCCCATCTGGGATTTTCACAAGGTTTGAATGTGGTCTAAATAATGGGCCTGTGTTTTAACTTTTCAGAGCAGAAGCTCCCGTTTATACACGTCTCCCAAAGTTCTTATCCAGCAGGCGGCTCCATTTGGCTCAGAAAATGCCCTTATCAAAGCTGCTCAGAAAATAATTCCTTTACTTTAATGGCCTACAGTTTGTAGTTTCAGTAGTTAAGTACACAAAAATGGCAAAAAGTAACTGAACTACTTGAATCACCTGCCTAGAGACAAAGAAAAATCTGCACAAAGGTTACTAGTTATTTTGCAATGTGACCTCCTGAAATTTGAACTTCAGTGTCAGATTTCAGTGACCACTGAGTTTAGTTCTCCAGGCGAGATGGCCCTTCAAAGCCCCCGGCACTGGCTGACCACGCCATTACAGCACAAACCTCTTTAAACAACTGATAGTGAGACAAAGGAGGCTGCAGCATACTTTCTGTGGGCAATAGGAGCAAACAGTTAATGATGTTTACTTAAGATTACTGGGTGAGTCCGTCTTGGAAAGAGAAGAAACAGCAGAAAAAAGAAATAAGGGAAAGAACAAAAGGAAAGCAGTTCACACTTTAGTCATTTGGTCTACACTGTTGTTTGTCTGTTTGTTGGG